TCAGTTGTGGTACAACCCTATTTGAAGGTAATCTTTGCTCATCTGTGCCTTTGCCTTTGATTAGTACCTTTCTCGGTATCTATTTTGAACCATCTCTTTCCATGTAACATCATATTTACCCAGAATGTTAAATGAAAAATACAGATGAATATATAAAGCGTTACTTTCTTTTCTGTTTTGCACATTAGCATGCTTCTAAAATTAATTGTACAGTAATTTTTAAACATTTTTAATGTTTATTTTTGAGAGACAGAGCGCTTGCATGGGAGGGGGCAGAGAGGGGGACAGAGGATCTGAAGCGGGCTCCGTGCTGTCAGCACCGAGCCTGATGTGGGGCTCGAACTCACAAACTGCGCGATCATGACCTGAGCTGAAGACGGCCATTTAACTGACTGAGCCCAGGCGCCCCCAGTACTTGTATTTCATATGCACCTTCCTCAAGTAGAAGTAGGTGTGAGAATCGGCAGCAGTCAGTAGTTTCACTGGGACTGCTTCTCCTCTGTACCTTCGTGTCTAAAATGAGGGCCATCAGAGGTTCAGTTTTGATTGATGATGGTGCATAAGAATGGTATCAGTGAGAAGTTTCCTGAACTTAATTTTTGAAGTTTGCTGTTTTTAGTGAAATACTAAACATTTATTGATTTACATATAACAAATAATATTTACATATAATAAATATGGTAAGTACTTCATGATTTAACTTGGATATAAAGCGATAAAGTCACTATTTCCATTTTGCAAATTTAATGTATGGAAATGCATAAGTCTTGGGAAATAGGTTTTATGTCTTTGGGAAGGAGCATATTGTATGGTTTAAAAGCGGAAGCTCTCAAGTCAGAGATCTGAGTTCAGATTTTACCTTGAGCAAGTTTACGGTCGACCTTGGGTGGATGACATCTCCAAATGTCCCTGTGTTTCATCTGTGTGACCATGTCCTTACTGGCGCTGCCGTAGCTGCCCCCAGCGGTTGTGCGTTATGCTGACAAAATTGAAAAATGCCTGTGGCCCCTAAACTTGTGAAAAGGGAGAAGTGAATTCTGATGCAGGCATGCCTCATTTTAACGTGTTGTACTTCACCTGGCTTCTCACACGCTGTGTTTGTTACAGACTGAATGTTTGTGGCCACCCTGCATCAGTCAAGTCTGTCACACGTTTTCCCGGCAGCATTTGCTCACATCATGTCTCTGTCACATTTTGGCAGTTCTCATAATATTTCAGACTTTTTCATTACTATATTTGTTAACGGCAATTGGTAATCCGAGATCTTTGATGTTACTGTTAGAACCGTTTTAGGTGCTGTGAACCATGCACACGTAAGACGGTGAACATAATCAGTAAACCCTGTGTTGTGTCTGCCCCACTGACGGCAGTTCCCCCCTCGGCCTTCCTCTTCCCTGAGACACAGCAAGTAGGGACATTGGGTCCATTAGTGCCCCTACAGTGGCCTCCCAGTGTGCAAGTGAAAGGAAGAGTCACACGTCTGTCACATTAAGTCAGAAGCTGGAGATGATCGAGCCCCGTGAGGAAGGCACATGAAAGCTGAGACAGGCCAGTAGCCGGGATTCTTGTGCCAAATAGTCAGCCAAGTTGTGAGTGCAAAGAAGTTCTTGAAGGACCTGAAAAGTGCTTCTCCAGTGAACACATGAACAGGAAAGCCAAGCGGCCTCCACGCTGATCAGACCATTCCCAGTGTTCGTGTGAGCCACAGCCTAATCCAGAGCAAGGCTTTGACTCTCTTCAATTCCGTGAAGGGTGACAGACATGAGGAAGCTTCAGAAGAAAAGTCTGAAGCGAGTGGAGGTTGGTTCGTGAGGTTTAAGGAGGGAAGGAGTCGTTTCTACTTTCAAGTCTTTTATTATTTAAGAAATACATTTCACAAGGCAGTGGTTCTTCTGATTGAATCTGGGCAAAGTAAACTGAAAATCTCTGGCAAGTGTTTTTACCATTCTAGATGCCTTAAGAACAGTCGTGATTCATAGGAAGAAGTTAGAGAGCATCAGCATTAACGTGAGTTTGGAGGACATTGATTCCAGCCCTCAGGGATGACTCGCGGGGCCCAGAACTTCCGGGGAGGAAGTTGCTGCCGACGTGGCGGACACAGCAAGAGGACTTGAATCACAAGTGGAGCCTGGAGATGGACTGACCTGCAGTTTCGGGATCAAACGTACACGGGTGAAGAGTTGGTTCGAACGGACGAGCAAAGGAAGTGGTTTCTTGAGATGGAATCTACTCCTGGTGGAGACGCTGCGAAGACTGTTGGGATGACAACACAGGGTTCAGAATAGGGCACGAACTTAGTTAATATAGCAGCAGAGGGTTTGAGAGGATGGGCTCCACTTTCGAAAGAACTTCTGCTGTGGGTAAAATGCCGTCCAACAGCCTCCTGTGCTCCAGAGAAATCATTCATGAAAGGAAGAGTCAGTTGATACAGCCAACTTCATTGTTGAGAACATTTTGAGAACTTGCCATGGCCGTGCTGAGCACCCTGACCAGTCAGCAGCCCTCTGCACTGAGGCAGGACCTCCACAAGCAAAAAGGGCACAACTTGCTGAAAGCTCAGCTGATTCAGGTTACCATTTTTTTAGGTATAAATATTTTTTAATTAAGGTATGCACATTGTTACTTTTATTAGAGATAACGCTATTTCTCACTACCGTAAACGTAACTTTACATGCACCAAGAAACCAAAAAATTCACTTGGCTCACTTTATTGTAGTGGTCTGGAATGGAGCCCACGACGTCTCTGAAATATATATGAAGCATTAAAAAGAAAAAGATCTATGTGCTGTGTCAAGAAGAGATGCCAATAATATATTTAGTGAGTAAAGCCAGTATGGGACAGGTAGAGTATGACATGTGTGGGTATACATGTGTTATCAAAACACATGCATGAGGGAGAAATGCAGAACATATCACAAAACTGAAAACTGAAGTTGTTTAGTTTTTTCCCTGGTGAGTAGGACACAAAAAACTTAGGCTTTTTCTTTCCTTTTTTTTTTTTTTTTTGTTTGTTTGTTTGTTTGTTTAATTTACTTATTTTTGAGAGAGTGAGCAGGGCAGGGGTAGAGAGAGAGGGGGGAGAGAATCCCAAGCAGGCTCCATGCTGTCCATGTGAAGCCTGACGCCCAACACCGGGTTCAAACTCACAAATCGTGAGATCAAGACCTGGGCCAAAATCCAGAGTCGGACGCTTAACCGACTGAGCCACCCAGGCGTTCCTTAGTCTTTTTCCATTCTGCCTTTCTGTAGTTGTTAACATTAAAAAAAGAGTTGTAAAAATAAATACACTTAGGAAGAAAAAGTTTGCTTTAAGGAGCACAAAGTACTGATTTTAATAACGTCATTTTTGTTTATAAACCTATTAATTGAAGCGTATGTACTACATGATTTTAAGCTCATTTACAGAAGGTTCGGAATGTTCAGAGGGAGGCCCTCCATTCTTCCTCAGGTATTTACTGTGTAGGGTCTGCCGGCCTGTGCCCTAAAGGCTGGGTGAGCAGGTCACTGGCAGGACAGACAGGTCATGGCAGCTCTGTCCCGTACATGGGAACGCAGCCTCGAAGAGAAAACTAATGTGTGTGGTCAGGGAAGGCTGATGGGAGGGGTGACATCTGAAGGAGGAAAGCCTGGTGGCTGTTCGATAGAAGACCCAGGAAATAGGGGGCGTGGTGAGAAGTTGGGCTCTGAAGGAGGCTCCCCAGTGGTGAAGAAGGAAGAGCTGCTGCCTCTGGGAGGCTGAGTTCTTAGCGATACCCCGGTGCAGACGAGGCGGAGACAGTGCAGTGGCGCCTGCCTGCCGGGTGGAGGGGACAGGGGAGGCAGGTGTGTGTCCAGGATGGTGCTCTTGGTGGAGAGCCATAACCGGTAGAAAAGGCAGAGGTACCTGCACGGGGGCAGGCTCGGGGATGGTGGCAGGGCCCGTTGGGGGAGGTGTCCGGAACCATCCTGCGACTGCTGCTGACTTGTTCCTCTCTCGGCTGCTCAGGAACTTGGAATGTCAAAAGCGATTTGCCACCGGGCCCTCTTGCCAAGAAAAGGTGGAGCCCAGCCATCGGGGTTCATTTGTGGAGGTTCTGCCTTCCCAGTAGTGGCGTCGAGCCCACCCGACAGTGACTGCCGCTGAGAAAAGCGGTTGGGTCTGTCGTGTTCACCGAGGTTACTTCCCACTCGCCACCCTGCTGGTAGACACCGGCCCTGCCAGCAAGCTGCAGCCCTGGATCTGGTTATAAATTGGTGCCGGCGGCGGGCACTGGGGTTTCACTCTGGCCTGTATTTGTGGCGGGGGGATGCATGAGCCCCCAGGTCACCTAGGGGCTGTCAAAACCCGCCAGGGCTGGCACCTAGTGATGGTGAGGACCCAGCCTAAGTGGGCGGAGTGAGCTAAAATATGGCACCATGAGCCTGGTCAGGTTCGGTGCTGGCTGGAGGTCCATGGGGTTCTGGGAGCGCACACACTTATTCATCCACCTGAATGCCTGTTCACCATCCCACCTGTACCCTCAGGGCCTCCCAGCCAGCCCCGACTCGGGCCTCCACCTGACTCCACTCCTGATCCTGGGTGAAGGCAGGGCCCAGGGGTACCCCGAACTCACATCAAGCCCGCCTGGGCCCCTCTTCCGCTGTATTCAGCCCAGCCGTCTCTGTAGCTGCTTCCCCAGGAAGTAGGACCTCCCAGCCCCTTCCCGGAGCTGTTCTCCATAGCTTTGATGGGGACCCTGCCCCTTCCACCCCCCAGCCACTTGGGCCATGAAACGCACCTTTCTCCTGACACTCTGTGGGACTGTGAAAAACTCTCACGAAGAGCCTTAGAAGATGCATATCATAGCTGTATAAAGAAGGAGACGGTCAGAATCCGGGGACAGGTTTCCTCTTTTTCTCCTCCGGAACGTATGCCTCAATTTCTGTGATGAGTGGAACATGCACTCCACCCACCCACTCTGTTTTTTTGTTTCACCAAGCAAAACCAACGGGTGATTTTTTTTTTCTTTCTGTATTTATAGGTCCTCTGCCTGACGGATGGGAACAAGCCATGACTCAGGATGGAGAAATCTACTATATAAACCATAAGAACAAGACCAATTTTTTATTAGACCGAGGTTTTGACTGCTTGGTAAAGGTTCAACTCAAAACCTTTTTTAGATATTTTTGATAACTGTGTGTGTGTGTGTGTGTGTGTGTGTGTGTGAATTTGGGAACATCCCCTGAAATAAAATTGCGTTGCTTTCTAGTATTGAACAGGAGGACTGCCCAGCCAGCTTTTCCAGTCCTGCTTTTATACCTCCTTACATATGTTCACTCTGCACCTGACACATGCAGGTGTGAGTCTGCTCTGCAGCCTGGGCGCCTGGGCTGGGGGTGGGGTGGGACGGCTTGTGGCAGCTTACTGATCAGAGTCCTGCTCCTTTCACCCTTTGAGCGACGCGGTGAATGTGCGTAGAATGGTCTTTCTAACTGCAGTGCTAGTCAGGCTGCCACACTGCTCTAAGGCCTGGGATGCCGGCTTTGGTCCTGACCCAGTGTCTGCTTCTGTGCACCTGCAGCGAGGAGTGGCCTGTGCCGGAGGCTGTCTGGTTTTCTGTCCTCCACTGGGCTGGAGCTGTCACCCTGGGGAGGCGCCAGTGAAGGCATTTTCTCTGTTCTTCTCCCTCTGACTGGCTTTCTTTTTTTTTAAGGAAGGTTCCTTAGTTTTTTATTCAGGAAACAAAAAAGCAAAGCCGTATTCCCTTCTAAATCACCCTCTGCACAAAGGAACACTCCCCTCCCAAATGCACACATTCACATTCTGATAATCATATACAACCTCTTTAGTGCCTTTTTATCCCGTGTTTTTCCGCTGTTCTATTATTTCAGTGGGGTTTCTGAGACACTCTTCCAAAGCCACGGAAAACTGAATCTAAAAAGGAGCAAAGCATTGTGGTTTTGAAGTTTGCATTTTGGACTGGATACAGCTAAATGAAAACAACGTGCAGATCATCGAGTAGGTCAGACTGAGGAGTGTGGGGCTTTTGAAGCTCTGCGGGGTTGACCTAACAACAACTGTGGAGACTCTTACGGGAAGGAGGAATTAACTCTGTGAATGCCTTCAAAACACAATCCTGGGGGGAAAAGAAACTCTGCCCAGAGCTTCTTGGGTAAAATTACTTCCCTCTCAGAAACATTGTGAACGGTTTGGCTATGTCTGTATGTATACCTTCAGAAACCTCCAACATCTGGGTTCCCCCCAAGCTGACTGGTCATTGGTGGGCTAGTTGGGACCCCCTGTTCACACGAAGCCAAGGTGGATCAGAGAACAGACTGTCCTTTTGACAGATAGCCGCTTGGCTTCAATGTTAGACTTTTGAGCTTCAGAGTCTGTTTGGGTGTTAAAAAAGTAATGTGGCATGTTAATAATTTGCAACTTCAGATTTTATTTGATACTCCAGTAAGCCTTGTGGTTGAAATAGGAAACCAAGTAAGGTAGAGAATTTTAATAAATGTTGCCATTTGTATGGATTGGAGCAATAACAGCCATGTTTCCTTAAGTCATATTTAATGAAATGGATTCAGCTTGTCCACATTTTGGAGATTTTTTTTTTTAAGTGGTCTGTGGTTCCCCCCCACCCCCCCAACATAGGGTTATGAAAGATGATAATTAACTCTTGGCTAACTCCAGAAATCAGGAATTGGGACAAAGTTGTTGTTGTTGTTGTTTTTGCTTTGTTTTTTTCTGTAAGTGCTTTCAGTTAAAATAGTGAAATAAAGCAACTTGACCGTGACCCTAGGTAGATCCATTAATTATGCACAGAGCTTGGTTTTTTGTTTTGAGTAAGGAAGAGTCCTGAAAACAATTCTCCCACCCTGCCTTCAGCACATGCATACGCACATTCAATTGCATATTCCAAAGAAAAGTTCCATAAAATTCTCTTACTGCCCGTAGTTTCCCTGTTTGGGCCCACTGTGTGTGTGTCTTCCAGACAGGCTTGATAGCCTGCCAGAGCTTTTTATTTTGTGGCCTGACTTTTAATCTGTTCCAGACCTTTTCAATCAGAGCCCTAGTGTAACAGGGGGGCGGGGGCTTCTCCAGGCTGGGGCTCTGGCGGTCAGAGCCAGGCTGCTGAGTGCAGGGGTGCTCATGAAGTCTGAGGTTCGAGACAGGAGTGGGTTTTATCTCTGCCAGAAAAATACAGATTGTCCGCTTTCTGACCCTTTGAGCTGTGCACGTACAAACGGTGGGTTCTTGTTTTCGTGGTTGTGAGGTTGCTTTCCTGTACTCCCCAAATCTGTATTATTTACCTGTGTTTAGCTTGGGTCAAGTTAATCTTCTCTTGTGACGTTGTGGAATAGAAGGATCCACCTCTGTGTAAGCTGTGTGAGCTTGACATCCCTTCCCTTCTTCAGACACCAGCCTCTTACATTTTAGAATCCTGTGTCCGTCCTCCTTCCTGCAGAAAGTTAATAAATTATCCATATGACTTTAGGAAATTAAAGAGTAATTTGTGGATTGCTTTTCTTTCATCCGATTTTCTTTAACATTTAAAAACTATACATTTTTGACATTTACGTTATTTTAGAGAATTTACTAGTAATTTGTAACAAATCATGAAGTGACATCACTGACAATAAGGATTCCCTGATACTTATTGGCTTTGAGAAAAGAAGGGGTTTTGTTTGTTTTTAAGGATTCCTGTCAGGAATTTTGAATTAATCCAATTAGGAATTGGTGCCTGAATATTATGTAGGCTGTTACATTACTTCATATAATGACTCTTTCCTGGAGATTTTAAATATGTAAATGTATTGTAAACATGAAGAGTCTCAAGTTTTAAACATTTCCTTGTTATGTAATAGTCCTATGAATAGTGTCTGGTAAAAGCCCTAATGAAAACACACAAAAATACCATTTCTTTTTAGAATGAAAGATCTCCAAAACACTAATAATCAGGGGACTCATCTTTTGTGTAATGTTACTGTCCTTACTGTTTATATAAAAGGACATATTAAATAATGTTAGCAATTTGTGTTTCTGGAAATAGGTGCTGATGGTACCACTGGAAAAAAACATGTTTGGTGTAAATGGAACATTGGAACTAGAGATTTGGGCTAAAAAATACATCTTTTGAGTCTTAAACGATGTAATGAACAATCTGGTGTGGCAAAAACAGAATAGTCTTTAATTCCTAACCGTTCTGTGCGTAGAAATTCCGTGCACAGGAATGTCAAAGGTAATTAAAACCCAGATGTTGATTTTGGTTCTTTGTTTCAGTTTCCCAAAACTTGGTGTGCGTGTGTGTGTGTGTGTGTGTGTGTGTGTGTGTGTGTGTGTGAGAGAGAGAGAGAGAGAGAGAGAGAGAGAGGGAATTTCCTAAAATAAAGATAACTAAAATGAAAAAAGGAAGAATAGATAATTTATTTAAGACTCATAGCCAAAGTTAAGCACGTATTTCTTTTTTATTTATTTTATTTTATTTTAATGTTTTATTTATTTTTGAGACCGAGAGACACAGAGCATGAGCAGGGAAGGGGCAGAGAGAGAGGGAGACAGAGAATCTGAAGCAGGCTCCAGGCTCTTAATCAAGGTTAAATCTTTGCATCAATAATGAGGGGTTTATTAAAAATTTTAACTTTTTAGATATACATTAACCTTTTCTTTTTAACACCAAATATTCTCGATAGCTGTTGTAATAAGTGAAGTGGTACTTTACTTTTGATGAAAATGTACCTAATGACCAACTGAATACCTAAGTCTGCTCTAGTGGACACAGGAAAATGCACTGAAGGCCGTGGACACTGAACTGTATCTCCGTGAATGGAGTCTTGGGTGGATAGAATGTCAACATCTAACCATTTGAATTTTACTAAAACAAGTGTCTGGATAATCATGCGTTAAAGTATTTTTTTTCCTTACACTCTTTTAAATCTTTCCTGGTGATCCCAAATTGTACCTACTGGGTTGTAGACTGCATTATTCACACCTTAGGAGAGAGTGAAAAAGATAATTCATTGTATTTTAGGTAAGAAGAACTGTTGCTAATGAAAAAAGTTTAAGGGATAAACCTCCCAAAATCTGGCCCTGGAAAGAAATTTATAATGCCTCTAACCCGCATTTGTCAAGATGTAGCTGGGCGGTGAAAAGTGGTATTCTGGGGCTGGGGGCGCTCAGCATCCCTGGCCCTCACTCACCAGTGCCACTCAGTCGCTGTTGACTCCCCACACCAACACATACGTGCTTAAAAAAAAATAACGGGGGAAGACATACGAAGAATTGCTCAAAATAGATGTTCCTCTGATGGGGCGCCTGGGTGGCTCAGTCGGTTAAGCGGCCGACTTCGGCTCAGGTCATGATCTCGCGGTCCGTGAGTTCGAGCCCCGCGTCGGGCTCTGTGCTGACAGCTCAGAGCCTGGAGCCTGCTTCCAATTCTGTGTCTCCCTCTCTCTGACCCTCCTCCCCCGTTCATGCTCTGTCTCTCTCTGTCTCAAAAATAAATAAACGTTAAAAAAAAAATTAAAAAAAAAAAAAAAAAAAAAAGAAAATAGGTGTTCCTCTGAGACGTAGGGAAACTGTGACCTGTCCAAGGTTCTATAGTTCTGTGACAGAACTGGAATCTGAACTTGATCTTTTCAGACCTAGAAGTGTTTTGAAATTTAGATTTCATGCAGTTACTGCTTTAGGAACAGCCCTAATTCATCAACACTGATACGTGGACATTTCAGAGGGAAGAAGGTGACAATGGTTAATGCATTTCTATTGTGACTCACCTTGAGGAAATTACTCGGAGGCGTGCAGTTACAGAAGAGATGGCCCGATGGCAGCGGAGTGTGAAGCCGTCCGGATGGATGATCATGCCACCTCTATCATGTCCTTAAGAGCCTGTCTTCCAGCCTCAGTGTCGACCTTTCCCTAGCGTAGGAGCTTAGCAGTTGGTTCTAGTTAAGGAAAGTTCTAATGACCAGGAAGTATGTGTCCCTCTATTACCTAGAAATTTACTTCCCGTCAGATTTGTGAATACAGTTCAATCCCAGAAGCATTCTCTGTCCTACTGTGGCTTGTCCATTTTTTTTTCTTTCTTTCGTGCACCAAGAGTTCTGGGATCTCAGCCAGGTCGCTCCCCTTCTCTGGACACCGTTTTACTACTGACTCTTTAAATGTAACACGCAAGGTAGTCTTTTTTTATGTGTGCGTGTTCCACTGAGAAAGATAATTAGGGTGTGTCTCAACTTTTGTATGCCTTCCAAACATCCTGTTTTCACATCCACAGAAGGACAGAAGGTAGCTAGCCTCCCGCTTACTGTGTAGTGGTTATTCCGTAATGTGCTGAGTTCAGGTGAGCTCTGATGCAGAAGATGTTACCTGCTCAATTGGGAATCGAGATCTGCGCTTTTCTGGTACCACAGAATAACCCAACTCACTCGGAAGAGTGCCTGACTTCTCTTGACTTACATGTGATGAGATTATACTGGATGCTTTTTGAGAATTATTTCTGGCGCTTAATTAAAATTTAATAAAGGACGCTAGATTGTGGGTTCTTCAGTGACTGCTTTGGACCCTTGCTTAAGGCTACTCCCCAGCAGCCTTACAGACTCGAGCCCATGAGGTTTCAGAGACACTTCTGGACTTTTTATTGCATCATCTCAGTTTAGCGCTTGGCCCTCCGGTCACAGCTGGGAAGTACTTTTGAAGAGGAGACAGAGAAATCTTTAGCCCTTAACCTAAAGACGAGCCTGATCCCGTGGTGCGTATGCCCAGGAAACAGACCTGATTGGGGGGGGGGGGGCATTCTGCGTCAAACAGTTTGGTCCTCACTCAGTCTCTGGATGCAGAGGAGTTTAAAAATGCTTACATTAGCAGGGTTCAGCTTGGCTGCCTTAAAGATGGTGCATCTTTGGTATGCTTTGTTTCTAAAATGGAGAACTCCTGTAAAGCTGCTCTGATAGAAAAGGCAAAAGCCTGATGGAAGCTGATGTGAAGTAATATCCCAGGCTGTGTACATAGTGAAGCCTGACTTAAAACACAATTCGAGATTGTTAGCAATTATTACCCTTATTTTATGCTTTTTCTTAACTTAAGTAAGCACTTAGTGAAATGAATATCTGTTTTTTGAAATGAGTGTTTTAACGCCGAAGATTATAGAATATCAAAATAATTTCAGTACCGCAGTTTTGCTGTTTATTTGTGTACGTGTGGTCTGTTTTATCATGTTTGGTTTTTGCTTTTTAATGTTACATTCAGGAGGATGGTGCCCAAAAACTTGATCCATGATGATAAAAGCAGTCTCACCAACGGTGAGCACACGTGTGTTAGTGAGTTTGCATGTAGTTTGTATTTGATGGTGGTTTACGTATGCAATCACATAGTGAAGAAACATCTTTTTTTTTACAGGAGTTATCCATGTGGAATTTTTAAAACTTAAAATCTTTATAAAAAAATGTTTTCCTTTTAATGTTTACTCATTTTTTGAGAGCTAGAGAGAGAGCTTCAGCGGGGGAGGGGCAGAGAGTGAGAGGGGCAGATGCAGAATCCGAAGCAGGCTCCAGGCTTCGAGCTGTCGGCACAGAGCCCAGTGCAAGGCTCAACTCACGAACCGTGAGATCACGACGCAAGCTGAAGTCAGACGTTTAACCGACTGAGCCACCCAGGAGCCCCTTTCATGCCAGTCTCTTGATAGATGTTTGAAAGAAGTTGAATTGACCTAAATAATGGTTTGTTGTCAGTATTTTTTAAACAGTTTAGAGATTTAAAGTCTTAAACCCAGTTTTGGAGGCCCGTGGGTTGATGTTTGGGAAAGGAGCAAAGTACAGAGTGTGAGAGGGAGGGACTGAGGGATGAGGGACTCCCCACCCCCTGCCTGTGATGAGACCTGGGCCCTGGGGCTCAGAGCCTGCAGCCAAGCCCTGAGCTGGGGCCTAGAGCCGGGGTCTGGAGGAGGTGAGCTGCTGTCACCTAAAAAAACCACAGTGAGATGCCGGCTGGTAGCCGGTCAGACTGCTAAAATCAAGGACAGACTGTGCAAGAGTTGACCGGAATATGGAGAAGTTGGAACCCTCACTGGGTGCTGAGGGGACTGAAAACTGATATAGCCGTTTTGGAAAACGGTGTTGGCAGATCCTTGAGTTGGACACACAGTCGCACTAGGGCCTCGCAGGTCCTTTCCTAGGTGTTTATGCAGAAGGAGTGGAAACCGTGCATCTGCACAGACACCTGAACACGAGTACTCAGCAGTGTCCTTCACAGCAGCCGAGAAGTGGAAATGACACAGGTGCCCGTCAGTTGATGAACGGATGAAAAGGGTGCTACATCCGCATGGTGGAATGTTACTCGGCAGCCAAAAGACAGGAGATGCTGCTACACGCTGGTACACGCTGCAAAGATGGTTGAACCTTGAACACGTGCACGGTGGAACCCGCCAGTCCCAGAGGCCACGTACTGTTTTACTCCGTTCTGTCCAGGATCGGCACATCTGCAGACGGAAATCTGTCACCGTCTCCCGGAGTTGGGGGCACAGGAAGTGTAGTGCTGAGGATACCCAGTCTCTTTCAGGGGATGAAAACGTTCTGAAATTGGTGATGGCCACACAATTCTGTGGATCTATACAAACCGTTAAAAGGGTGACATAGGTCAGTAAAACTTATTTTTTAAGATTTTATTTTTTTTTAAGTCTACTTATTTTTGAGAGAGAGACAGCATGAGCAGGGGAGGGGCAGAGAGAGAGGGAGAGGGTCATTCCCAAGCCGGCTTGGAGCTGTCGGCCCAGAGCCCTACACGAGGCTCAAGCTCGGGAACTCTGAGATCCTGACTTGAGCCAAAACCAAGTCAGACACTTAACCGACTGAGCCACCCAGGCCCCCAAGATTTTATTTTTAAGTAATCTCTACACCCAACATGGGGCTGGAACCCATAATCCCAAGGTCAAGAGTTGGTCGCTCTACTGACTGAGGCATCCAGGCACCCCAGTAAAGCTTACTTTTTAAGAAATCATTCCTGGCACAGCACTGCCATTTCAGTACATAGCTTAATCAAGAGCATTCATTTCTTTTAACAAGTCTATTATTTTATAGTCTTGAGTGTCCTTGTAGATATGTGCAAAACCTAAAATTTGTTTTTAAATGTTAAGAGCAAACTAATATGTAGGCATGCAGTGTCTGAGACTTGGTAAAATATTAGACAAAGTAACACGTGCCTTCTTGAGTCATGAGGGACTGGGTGTAAGTTAACGTTTTAAAAGTTCAGACACTGGTTCCAATTTTAAATTTATGCTTAATGAAGGCATCACTAGGACTGAATGTATTTTCCCAAAGTTTATGGTTGATTGTCCGTTCTGTAATACTTTGTAATATTTCAAGATTGAGGTTAGCAATTATGAAGTCTTAAAAACATTCTGAAATTTGAAAATGCAGGTCCTGAAGATGAAGTCTGGGAAGAGACCCGCCGGGGGCATGGCCTCCTGTGTGTTGAGAAGGTGGTGTCTTTTCAGTAATTGCTGAGACCATAGCTTGCTATCATAAAGCTGACAGGACTGATTTGTTAAGTGAAACTTGAAACAGTTACTATTTCATAGTCCAAGCTGCACAGACTCTGAATTTTAAAATACAGAATATTTTTTTAAAATCCTGTCATATTTTTTAAGGACTTTTTTTTTCTCTTTACCTTCTAGAAATGTTATTAAAAGTGGAGGAGACCTTGGGATTTCAGTAGTTGATCACGGAGAGAAGAACTTCGCACTGCTGTTCTGTTTTTTTGTTTTTTTTTTTTTTGTTTTTTTTTTTTAGCCGCCCTGCCCCCTTTTCCTGGGAAACAAAGCCTGTTTTGTTTCTCCCCTGCTTGTGAGGTCTCTGCCAGGCCCCTGTGGGTGCGCTGCCCTGCTTTGTTGAAATGTGTGAGATACTGAGAAGGTAAAGAGCAGGATGCTTCTGGAGGGAATCATTGCAGCTTCCGTAGATCACGGGGTTGTTTGAGTTGGTCACTGAAATACGCTCTTCATAGGGAAAGCTTGTAGCACTGCTTGTATCCACAGGTAACAGCGTTTGGGCAGACACAATTAAGTCCTCACCACTGTCAGCCAGAGAGACCATATCTGTTGCTAGTTTTGTGCAAACTTCTGTTCGGTTCTGCAGAGTTGTTTTTTCCTTCATCTTTTGCTCTCCTGTTTCTCCCTTTTTGTGGGTTTTGAATAGTTAAATAAGCTTAGATCTGAAAAAGAGCCTACCAACCAATTCAGGAGCCTTCAGCAGCCCTCACTGTCCTTGATGATCACCGCTAACAGTATTTAATTCTGGGAAACTGAAGGGAAGCACAGGATCCTTCCCTCTTTATTTTCAAGCAATTTGTTATTGTCCATTTTCACAACAGTACATATTTTTATTAATTTGTTAAATGTATTTCTTAATAAAAAATCCAGTGGCGAAAGCTGAATTTTCAGATGCTTCTTACTAGATGAAATATGTAAGTGTATAGCTCGAGAGTCAGTTTTGCAATCAGTCAAGTTATTAATGGGCTATTTCGTAGAAGTTTCTTGTTTAAATTATTTAATTGCTTGGAACCAAAAACATATTTTCCCCAATAGCTGTTTGTTCTAAGTTGCACTTTATGAGGTGTTCACTGCATGTGATAGGTTCTCAGATCATCCCCTCAACTCCTCCACACTGAAATAGCAAATGTATAGAACATTTCTGAGGGGAAATATATCGAGTACTGAGTATCGTGCTGGAATGCCAGGGGTGTGTTTCACTAAAGGAGAAGGATGTCTCAGGGTTGAGTTAAGACTCCACTGCCCATTTTTTTCCGTTTAGATCTTACTGGAAAGATAAATATTCGTATCTCTGAATTGTAGTGTATTGACAAACCCCGGGAGTGGCCTGGTAAAGTGGGAGAAGGCAGAGGGCAGCACAATTATCTGTAGGACTAGGAATCTTAAAGTTTAGGAAGAAGTGCCCCAGGGAAGGAACAAGGTAGCATTTCTGGAGCACCTCTTGTCCCCAGGGCCAGAGTGTGTGCTCTGCATAGATTAATCTCCACAGTGTCTCCGAAAGGGACATACAGTATCCCCAGACACAGTTGAAGAAGCTGAGGATTAGAGGAATGACTGAGTTGTGGGGTTGGTTTGACTACAAAGGCAATGTGTTTGGTATTGTGACAATACCTGTTGGTGACAAGTAGATGTAAGCAGTTGTATTAAATGAGATTGTTGATTCCAGACTTAAACGTGTTTGGAAGCATAACGGTGTCTTGAATAGCCTATGATTTAAATGGAAATCACAATACAGATTGTGGCAGATCTTAGCACTTAAAATTTCGGGCTTATTTTTTTGTATCCATTCCCCTACAAAATACTAAACTACAACCGTGATTATGAAACTTGAAGCCATTTATTCTTTCTAAAGACAGATCATAAATAAATATGATTTTTGTTGGGCAGTGTAAGACAACTAATCCGGCTTTGAACAGCATGGAGCGGCAGGTCCTGTTTTGACGTCCCGTCTCTGCTCTGCCAGACAAAATACTAAAAAGAGATCACCAGAAAGACATGACTAGGGTCATAAATTGCGGAAAATAATCTCTGTGGGTCAGAAGGTAAAACCCACATAATACAGTGAGCAAGGGCAGGCAGGTTTAGGGGCCTCGGGTCCTGAGGATGTCAGGAGCGCAGAGTGTTATGGACAAGGGAGACAGGACAGCTGAGGGCCTGGCCTAGTCCAAGAGCGAGGACTCACCACGCATCAAGTACAAATCTCAGCAATCCGTACACAGACCCTGTTCTTTTAACTACAGTGCAGTTAAATTAGATTCCCATGGGGCGCCTAGGCTCACTAGGTTCAGCGCACTAGGTTTAGCGTCCACTAGGTTTAGCGTCCGACTTCAGCTCAGGTCATGATCTCGGCGCTTGTGAGTTCAAGCCCCGCCTCAGGCTCTGTGCTGACAGCTCAGAGCCTGGAGCCTGCGTCAGATTCTGTGTCTCCCTCGCTCTCTTCCCCTACCCCCCTTCTCAAAAATAAATGAATGTGTTAAAAAAAAAAAAATAGTCCCAATAAAAAAAGTCAGCTTCGAAAAATGTATATGGTTTGCCCTACCAGCCATTATTAACACATATCATTAATGTTGGGATTAAAATTGTGGCATCTGGGATAAGATTAATGAATAGAAAGTCCAGAAGCAACATAATGTGGCAATTTAGTCTGATAAAAGACGTCTTTGGGGGAAGGATATACTTTATGTGGGTGGTGTTGGGCAAATAGGCATGAAAATATAAAATCAGATTTATTCACTCCATATTCCAGGATAAATTCCAAGTCGAGTGGATTGAATTGCCAAATAAATACATAAAAAGAAAGTGAATAGCTTTTGGATTAAAAAGTTGATGAATTGCTTTGTCATCAGGGAGTGGGGAAAACATAGCCCAAATTTCAAAAAGACTGATAAATTTGACTGCTTAAAAAATACAATTATATGGAAAAAGCAAACTAAAAAGAGAGCTGGTAAACTGAGGGAGATTATTTGTAACATATATGTGACCACAGCTGTCTCCCCCTCGTATATAAAGATTATCTAAAATAGAGAACGTAAAGAAAGACTAGCAAGTCTCTTGGAAAAGGTACAGACACAATTGGCATGAAAAATGCAAATGGCCCTTTAAAATAGGGAGATGGATCAAACTTTTGACATAAAACGTAGCAAAGTAAAATGACATTGACCAACCATTTCTCACTTTTCAGATTGGCAGAAGTCCAAAAGTTTGCAAGGATTTCATGGGGAAAAAGGACTGTCCTACATCACTGGTAGGGATATAGCCAGGTACAACCCCGGTGTGGGAGGGAAGAAGCAGGGAGACTTGGCAAAAGTACTCATTTTTAACATGAAGTCAGCCACCTCTCCCAACTAGGGCTCCACCCCAAGATACAGTAACAAAGAGACAAAATAATGTGTGTATGAGCTTATTCTCGGATAGTGAAAACTTAACAGGAAATTGGTTGAACGGGATACTAATAAGCTATTTTAAAAAGAAAGTGAGAGAAAACCCCTATATCCTGCTTTGGAGTGGTCCCAAGGATATGTTGTTGGTGAGGAAATAACAAAAAAGGCAAAGTGGAGACCAGTAGAAAAGTAGCCTCAGCGTACATGCTGCCCTGTGTCTAAGAAGTGTGCGTGTGGTTGCGTCGATTTTGCAAACACTGGTGACTGTTGGCTGTGAGCTGGTCAGGGTGGGGGAAGTAAGGCAGGTTTCTCCAGTTCGAGAGCACAGTGTCACAAGTGAATCTGTAAATTGAGTCGGTGGCCATGTGACAGGGAGAGGGACTCTTAGGTAACTAACCCACAGTGATGTGACTGTATGTACCTAATGAATGTTTTGAGTCAACAGTGACAAATTAGAAACTTGTAATAATCATTTTGTTGGGCATAAGTTTAACAGTCTGGGGAGGGCAATACCTATTGATGTTGTTAGAACCAGGTTTTTCAGCATAAGAGAAAATGCTTATAAGATCAAAGAATCCAAGTAAACACCCCGAATGGTAGGTACTGAGATTACGTCTGGATGCAAGGCTATGATGTTTGCTTCAGAATAATCGGGGAGACAGCAGGATAGAAGGGACTATCTTCTGATGAGCTGCCTGATGAGCACGTGAAGATCTGTCACCTATGTTTTTTCTACTTGTCTCTCTGTGGAAATTATTTGGAAACTTTGAAACCTGTTTGGAAGCATTACAGTGTAGTAAATAGCTCATGAGTCGGATGGAAATCTCAGTAGAAACTACAAGTATTGGGAATGGAACAGTCATGAGTTACACTATTTGAAGATGTAGGACACTCAGGAAAAGCACGACTCAAGGGTACATTTATTGACTTAAATCCTCCAAGAAAAGATTTAAACTAAACGACTTCAAGTGAGGAAGTTAGAAAAAGAACTGGAGAAAGCCTGGAGAGAAAAGGCGGGAGCCTCATCACCCACTGCACACTGCCCACCCAGTAGGCCGGACTGAACGAGGCCGTTGTGCATGAGTTTGGCCTGTAACGGTCTTTCCTGCGATGTCCTCAGCTCCGTATCAACACACATGGTGCCACAGCACGGGTGGCCAGTCTTCGGTGGAATTTGCTCGAGTTATACATTGTCTGTCTTCACTACTTACATTTCTGCCTCAACTCGAGTTTTTTTAGCACCGACCTTGTTCTAGATGCTGCAGAGCCCCGAGGATACGTAGGCCATTCCTGTGCTGGCGCCTGGAGGGACGAGGGTCTTAGCGCATCGTGGATGCTGCGAAATGCCGGGCAGTTCACTCAGATCTCCCAGAGTTGGCACTTACCAGGCGGCCTCTGTGGCACAGCCGAGGATGCATGAGAAATTGTCGTGAGGAGTTGGGTACCTGCCTGGGGCAGCAGTGGGTCGCAGGAGCTGTCCACGTACGTTAGGTCGGATTTTGATGGTGAGGGTCACGAGAGAGGTTGGTGTGTAATGTTCCTTTCTTCGAATGCCCTTGTGTCAGGATTGTGTTGGCCTCGTGAATGCTGTGTGAAGTGTGTCTTGTTTGCTGTTGTCTGGAGAAGGTGGTGTGAGATTGGTGTTCTCATTCAACATTTGTGAAGTTGTTTGGGCCTGAGGTTTTGTTGGTCAGTGTGTATTAGCGATTTAGTGGAAGCAGGGACCCAAAATCTCACCTTGAACAGTTCTACACGTGTCCGAAAAGGTGATGTGTCCTTCCCATTTTCACATAATAAAACTTCCCTCCTCGGGAAATCCAGTAGAATAAGGATCCGCCCGTTTCTGATTGTCACATGGTTACAGGTTCAACTAGGAACCAGCTCCTGAGTCTCCCTGGGCTGTGTGAGGGGACACAGCGGTGTTGCTGGAGATGAGCCTCTGCTGTCCAGATCTCGTGGGCTTGTTCGATCATGAGCGAGCCTCCCGTCGTGGAAATCTGCTTGTGTGTTAAGGGTTGATCATTTTAATGGGCTTTGCTGCTCTGAATGCTGAGTGTCATTTTGTGGGACTTGCGTCTTTATATTTGTCATAAACCCTGTGCTCACGTCATTCACACTCCAGAAGTCACCGCAGACGTCCCTGCCGCTCAGTCCTTTGTCAGCCTCCCAGCTCTAGAGGCAGCGGACAAGACAGGTCCCCAGCCTGCGCTCGATCCTCTCTGGATGTGCGTGTAACGCGTCCTGTGCTTCCTGTGACATGCTTTGCTTTTACGTGGCATGTCTTCTGCCCCTGTCGCTGCAGGTGAGAGCGTCTTCTTGTTTCGGGCTCTCACCTGGCTGGCATCTCGTAACGGCAGCAGGGGTGACAGCGAGAACAGTAAATTAACCTAACCGTCATCCTGTCGGTGGCTTTCCTGCTACACTGACTGTGCCCAGATGCTTTTGAAAACCTGTCCTTTGCATTTACGATTAGATTTTTAGGACCGATGTTTTGTTTCATTTTAGCCGTGAACCAGAGGGTCGGGCAGAGCGCCCCGGCGAAGCAGCCCCCGCCCCTGGCCCCGCAGAGCCCACCGGGGGGCGTCCTTGGCAGCGGCGGCTCCAACCAGCAGATGCGGCTGCAGCAGCTGCAGATGGAGAAGGAGAGGCTGCGTCTGAAGCAGCAGGAGCTGCTCCGGCAGGTGAGGCCCCAGGTTAGAGGCCAGCCTTTGCTTTTCGGGCTTCGCTTCCCGCGCGTGGGTCGGGGGGCTCGGCGCTCTGTCACGGCTGGGGTGACGCAGACGACGCGCCGGCTCCGTTCTCGTCCTGCTTCCCCGACCCGGCCCCCATCGCGGGTGGGCGCCTGTCCCCCCTGGGCTGCGGAGCCGTAGACGGCGCGGCTCGGACCGTTTTGCCCTCGGGACCCTGGCGCGTCCCTCGGAAGACCCCTTTTCCCGGAGATAGAAGTCCGTCAGGGGTGATAGGTCACTAAGGCGTTTCTCTGAGGACACGTGGGATTCGGCGTGGCTGAATCCAGGGTGTTTGACTTAAAACATAATACACGTTGCCCCCAGTTGAGAAGGTCCCTGCGCAGGGACCCAGTTGAGAAGGTCCCTGCGCTGGTAGGCCCGGGTACGGCCTACCCCTGGATGGCTGGGAACCTGTCAGGACCTGTCCCCGGAGTTTCCCTTCAGAAAGTGCCGCTGGTCTTCGTGTTCCACCAGGGCAGACGGTCCGTCCCCTCAGGATGCGCTGGGCCCCGCCTTGTTCCGGAAGGCGAGCTGAGGCCACAGGGTTCAGACACTGGGGATGCGGTCTTAGAGTCACTTACTGTTGAAGTTTTACGTCAACTGTTGTGACAGTCCACACGACAGGGAGTGCGATTCTGAAAGTGCGGGAGGCGAGGGTCCGCGAAGACAAAGCCTCCTCCTCCTCCGTGTCCTGAGTTCTCTTCTCGGGCGTCAGTCACCACCAGTTTCTCATTCTGTGTTTCCAGACACATCCTCTGTGTTCACAGACGTGAAACACGTGCATCCGCTACTTGTCTTGCAATTGCAGTGTGCCACGTGTGGAAGTGACCGCATCGACCCGGGTGCGGGCGCTTCTGAGGGCCGTGCGCTCACAGTGTTCCTGGAAACCGTGATTTGAGAAACTGGAGCCCTGGGGAAGGAACCTAAGCCGGGGAAGTCCCAGACAGACTCAGCTTGAGGCCGTGCTGCCCGCGACCTGTCGTGTAACTCGAGCGTGCTTGGCGCCCACAGCGGGTCCTGATGGCAAGGGCTGTGCCAGGGCTGGTGTCAGGGAGCCGTCGTGACGGACGGAGTGCTTACCTGCCCTAGAGAGGGTGCAGAAAGGAAGCCGACGCAGTTCACTGTGTCTCTTTCCAACAAATTACTCGAAAGGGAAAATAATTTTCCTTTAAATTAAACTTTATCCTCGGAACAAGGGAATACCAAGGATGTAATTATGTCTCTGTTAGAAGAAAGAACACAGCGTTTCACTCCATCACTGATCGGTCCTAGGTGGTCTAAGGAAGGACAAGGCTCAGTTTCACACACGGGGTGAAAACCATCAAAACTGAGAAATCTCACTAAGAACAATTAGTTAATTGCCAGTGTCAAAATCTTAACTATTTTAAAGTGTCCTGAGTTTTTTAAAGTCTAGAAATGGGCCGTCCATCATTATGTTGCATTCCGTAGATCAGCCTGGGCTTTTTGTTTGTCTGTTGTATTGTCTTTTTTTTTTTTTTTTT